ACAAAATAAAAAAAAAAAACAAAAACACCAAGTTGTTATTTAGAAAATTAAATTCCTGTTTGTATTTGTTTGTTTTTAGGTGTGTTTTTGCTTTGTTTGTTTAGTCTTGTGTTTTTTATTTAGGATGTTGACCTCTGTTCTGCCTGAGTGTGAGTGGGTATTACCTTGTTGGGGTCGTTTATTTCTTTATTTCTCATTCTCCTCTTGGGAGCTTTTTTTAGTGTTTGTAGTTTGTTGTGTTTTTTGTGTTTTTAGGATCTTACCCTGTTGGGATTGGTCATAGGCGACCTTTTGACGTGTCCCTCAATCTTTTCAGCAGTTAGTTGTTGTATTCAACTAGTGGTTGTTCTTCTGCACATTTATGCGCTTTTATATAATATTTCCATTATTTCAACAAAAAAAAACAAAAAAACAAAAAACAAAAATAAATTCATACTTTGTGTATCAAATTAGTAAGAACCCATTTCCTCCAATATTTTAAAATTTTGGATTTTTCATTAAACATAATAATTATTTTATATTATCATTATTATTCAAAACAAATAATGTTATAGTAATTTGGGCATAATTATAGATGAATTTCAATTTAGGTATTCCATAACAATTATAAAATGCTAGATTATTTTCCATAACCTTTGAATTTTAATAGAAAACATAGTTTTTCCACATAAAGTGATAATATTTGGCAAAAGAAAATTCAATATCAAGACTTCCTTCTCTTTATTAGTAATATATAGATGTGTATTCAAAATAAGTAAGACTAATTTGACTATTAAATTTGCCTAACAACAGTTTTACTGTAACAATTCTTACATTAGCCAAATAATAACTCTTGCGTTAGCCAAGCTTTATTATGCAATTATATATTTTCGTACATTATATTTTCGTACTATTAAATTTGCCTAACAGTTTTACTGTAACAATTCTTACATTAGCCAAATAATAACTCTTGCGTTAGCCAAGCTTTATTATGCAATTATATATTTTCGTACATTCATATTCAAATGTCATTCTTTAAAAATAACACAAATAAAGTTTGACTGACATGTTAAAATATAAATATGTACATTTTTGTTTAAAACATATGACAATTTATATATCCTTGGACATCGGGGTTTGTGTTTTGCTATGAAGCCAACAATTGGCTCCACTGTGGAACCAACTTACCATATTCTCGAATTACTTAAATAACAATAGTATAATTTTATTAATATGGTATGTCTGTTGTTGTTGGAATATCACTTGTGAGTGTCCCACATTGATTCTATAGGAAAAATGAGTCTAGTATATAAGCCTAGTGGGCTACTTCTCCCATCACCAATTGGTTTTGGGATTAAACCTCACTAAGGTGCATCTAGGCTCACCCTCTTATGCATGGTGCGCCTTCATCTGGTGGGACCGCACTCTCTTCTCCTGTTTCTAATATGGTATCAGAGCGGGCCTGTCCTAGGACCTGCAATGACTATCTCTACCCGGCCTGCTCTGGGCTTGGGCTTATCTCTCTACCCGGCCTGCTATGCGGGTTTAGGCTTACGAATGACTCACAAGTGAGGGGCGTGTTAGAATATCACTTGTGAGTGTCCCACATTGATTCTATAGGAAAAATGAGTCTAGTATATAAGCTTAGTGGGCTACTCCTCCCATCACCAATTGATTTTGGGATTAAACTTCATTAAGGTGCATCTAGGCTCAGCCATCGTAGCAAAACCGTTGTGTACTAATATTACTCTAACTAGGACAAAAATTGAGTGATCCATATGAATAGTTCCACAAAAGTGGATCAGTTAGGCTAATTAATTCCCATATTTTTTCTTTAATTTTTTCCTTAATACACCATAATCTGGTAGAGTTAATGATTCTGATTTAGTTAAAACATATACTCAAATTATTAGATTATACATAAATAACATAATGTTATACATGCCTAGTCAAAACCTCACGTAATCTTAATTAGTGGGTGACCACTACATAATAATAATCTCCCTTAATTGTGGCTGAAAAAATCAACATGCCCCCCAAAAGTCTTGAGCGAGTTGTTAAAGAATAGGGAAATGTCATTCTGTCAAGATTGTAACCGTCAGATCGTCATGTAATCGTCGGGGATTGATCTATCGGTTACAAATCCTGACGGAATGATTCCGTAACGGAGCCGTAACATCTAAAATAGAATAAATATATATTTTTTGTCAAACAAAGTACCACGAATTGACCCATTATAAGCCGACCCATACAAGAACTGCATGGAGATAGAAATTATCTTAGCACTAGATTAATTTAAGCCTCGAAATTAATGGCTTTCGAATTGCATTAATTCATCAATTAAATTCTGTTAGTAAGTTACTCAAAATCTCCACCAATAAAAAGGTTAGCAATGACAATCCGATATTAAATGATCATAATTATTTTGTTTCACTATAGTAAAAATACCAAAAAAATGTGTAACATTATTGGGTTTTAAAAATGGATCCAAATTAATTCAAATTTTGGATAAAAAAAAGAAAAACCACATTTTTTCCCCTTTATCCTTTTCATTTGTTAAAAAATTCCATTTTTGGGCGATTTATTTCAAGGAAAAAAAAAAAGGAGGAAAATTCAATCTCCATTTTCCAGTCTCCATTTTCTTTTTCATTTTTCATATTTATTATTGTCCTGATTCATTTTGTGGGCTTCTCTCTCAGTTATTTTATTCGAAAGTCTCTAATCTCATAGCTTTGAGCTTTTTATTTTTTTTTTTTTAATTTATCTCGCTCCAATTTTTGTGGGGTTTGGGTTTTAGTGCTTCCAATCTCTAGGGATTACCAAATTAATTTTATTTATATTTTTTCTGTTTCGATTCTTGTGGATTAATGGCTGATTGATGTTGTTCTGAGTTTATCTTGTCCTGAGCCATTTTTTGTTGTTCTTTCTTCATACATTGTACTGTCCTGAAATTTTGCAGGTTTTCAGAGCAAAATTTCGAATCTTTTCACAACCCCAATTGGCTTTGATTGGTACAATGTTGTCTCAACACATTGTGTGATGCCTAAAGTTTGAATCTTTTTCATTAGGAGCCTTTTGGGTGTGTGGAAAACAGAGAATTGAAATCACTATCCTAAGTGCAAAAACATATGGGCAATAACTGTGTTCATGGAAAAATTTCCAAGAATGGCTTTTTCTACACAATCTCACACTCACTCTGGCCGTCCGACAAGTCGCCGGACGTGATATCATACAATGAGAAATCCGGCCAGCCTCCGAATTCCGGTCGCACTGAAACTCACCCTCCGGAAATGGTGAAATTCGAGCCCCAGCCCGTCAAACTAGAGCCTATTCTCATACCAAAGGAGGAGGCTAAGCCCGAGCCAGAGGCCCGGACGATCCCCACATGGGAGGAAGCCATCAAGAAAACCGAGGACAAAAGACCCGACCCGAACCCGCCCCATCTGCCCGAGCCCGCCGCCCGGCCACTGAACAAGCCTACTCGGACTCCCCACAACGTGAAGCGGGCAATGA